GGTGGCCCCGTTGCGGATTGGCATTTTCGTCTTTCTGTAGATATTGTACTGTCGCTGTCGTTCTGTTAAGTTCCGAGTTGTCAGAATGCGGTGCGTAGGTTCGAAATGTCGACTTTTCGCACCCTCTCTCAGCCTCCTAACGTCTTGCGCTTCACTTGATAACTCTGACGACGACTAAGCCAGTATAATTTTCGATGATGGCAATACCATGAGGGGCTGGTGGCTAAGTTTTACGGAGATCTCGCCATGGTCTCCAACCATCCTCCTTTTTCCTCTGGGCGTATGGTCGGCAACGACAGAGTAATGTACACATTGTGACAAAATAAATCTTTCTATTTCAATATTGGAGGCGAAATGAGAGTTTTAAATCTTGAGTTAATCTCAGTTCTATTATGGTACAAGCTTCCTCGATAGTTAAGGTCACAGTCAGGCATGCTGTGACTGTGATGGTGCGACGTACGTATTGTCCAAATTTTCGGTATGTTATTAGTATCTAGACATATTTTTCGCCTCTTGACATTGGATCAAAATGAAAATTACTTTAAGCTATATTGCGTCTTCCAGAGAAGTTCCAAGCCGTTCTTAGCGCTTGTTTGAACGTACTTTAAAACAGTCAAAGTATATTGTTCCGCCGCGAACGAGGTTCCAGTCTGGCTCATCATCTAAAGGGTGGGCTAATACACCATGTTTGGCCCTTCCTACAGGTGTTTCGCTACCGTGAAATGCATGGTCGTTGCGAATCTTGCTCCGGATTGGACAGTGGTTGAGACTGGTCAATCAGTCCGTAATTTATTTTCACTATTAATCGAAATAGAATACTTATTTTTTCAGTATGCTGTGTGTGAAACTTAATTAATAGCAGTGCGTCGTTCTCCTTGAAACTTCTTCGAAAGCTCTATGAAATAATTTAATAAGTATCTCTCACTTCAAAGAAAGTTATTAGTCACAAAATACTTTTTCGGCATTGAATCGACGTTAATTTAGAAGGAATATATGCACATTTGACAGTCGTTTGACCTTTATAACCTGCACGATCGATAAGAGGTAAGAGCTGTTCTCTTTTGCTGTTGTTGTACTAGTTTCGCATTAATTACTGTCTTCAACAGTTAAACTGTTATTGCCAAATCACTTTGCTACGCACGCTGTAGCATCCTCTGTGTTCAACTGATTATCAGGCAGCTAGTTGCCTTATATATGCAAAATACCTTGAGTATCAGTGAATGACAGATTAACTAGGTTTTAACCATCATATTTGTAACTAAATTTTGGAGTTTAATCTCAGACACTCATGATCTTTCCAATTTTTTTATCAGTTGTAACTTGATGATGCTACGGCATGCGTACCAAAACGATTTGGTAATGAGTGTTAGCGCCTGTGCTGTTTGATCCCCTCGGCCATCAATTAGCGAAACATGATTTCAGCAACCGGCCTTGAA